AGGGAGTGTAGGATAATCAACACCAGAACAGTCTATCTTTGAAATTACAATTTTTACTAAATCTCCTATTGCATATTCATTTGGTTATTGCTTTCCCTTATTTCTTTGATTTGCCATTTTATTAGTATAAATTTGAAGAACTTAGTGAGCAGCTTCTCTTAATATTTCATGTCCTATAGTTGTAATTCTTAAAATAGTATTTATAATATCAACAAAAGCTAAATATCGAGTATTTGAAGGTGATCCATTATTTCATATTGAATTTATGTTAATTTTATTGTTTTAACACTTTGAATACTAATATTATCATAATTTATATCCTCTACATCATTCTCTTCATCCTTTTTATCATTCTTTCTATCAATCTCTTCATTTTCTTTATCATTCCCTTCATCTTCTTTATTATTCTCTTCATTCACCTTATCATTATTATTATTAATTTCATTAATATTATTATCACTATTTTTATTAGTACTGTTAATATCATCATTTTCTGATGAAGGTAATAAAGTATTTATTTATTTAATATTTAATTATATAATAGTTAAAAAGAAATTAATTATGTAGTTAGAAGTTTATAATAAATTAATATTATATTTAATTAAATAAATGTTAGATTTAATATTATCTATTTTTTAATTTTTTAATATATAAAAAAAAATTTGAAATTTATTAATTAATGTTAATAAGAAATTGTTTAATATAAAATTTATTATTTAACTTTTAGAATTGAAAAATAATACTAAAACTAGATTATAAGACAAATATTTAAATTAAATATTGTAAAATATATAATAAAATTAATAAATCTTTAATATCTTGCTCATTAATCATATCATCATCTAAATTTTTATTTAAATTTTCAAAATCATTTATCTTGATTATTTTGGAGATTTTTTCTTCATCATAAATATTTTTGTTAAATAGTTTTTCAATTAAAGTGCAATTACCTTGTGGTTTATTATTATACACAAGTTCATATAGAGTTTTATAAGAACGACAATAAGAATGATTCATAGATAAAATAATTAGACGAAGCCCAAAAGACCAATCATTTCTACTAGAGTTTCTTTTCATTTACCTAATTTTTGTTGTAATATTCTATTTGCCCTTTTAATAAGACCTTGACTTTGAGGATAGCATAATCTTCTATTAATAATTTTAACTGATAGTTATAAATTAACTAACTCTTTTATTATTAATGCATAAAATTCTTTACCATTATCTGATTGAAGTATTGTAGGAGAAGAGCTAATTGAATGGAAAAGTTCAAATAAATATGCTGCTACTTCAACAGCTCTTTTGGATGTAATAGCTTTTGTCTAGAAAAATCTTGAAAATGCTTATGTATATGATAAATATATTTAAATTCTCCATCAGGAGCATAGGATATATCAATTAAATCTATCTATAAATAAAAATTACATTAATTAAATTTTTTTTTTAAAAAAAATTAGAACAAATTTACCTGAATACATGAAAATTTTTTTTTTGAAATAATTGGCTTTGCAGCCAAAGGATAAAAGGAAGGTTTTCTTGTAGTACAAATGACACAATTATTCACAAACTTTCAATTATATCTTGCTTTAACCAACCCCAATTTTCTTTCATAGATAACCAAAGCTGCTTTTGTTCTACATGTTTGTTCATTTCAGCATGGGTTCTACATAGCATTTCATACATACTTTCAACTACAAGAACCGGTTTGCTATTTGCTTTAACCATTACTCTATATTCTCTAGGAATAGTTTCTTTAAAGTAAAATCTTTTTTTAGACCATTCTCAAGTGTTTTTATCACAAATATGAACATCTTTAGGGTTTAATAATACTGTCTTTATTATATCCAAAAGCTTCAAATTCATTAAAGCTTTATGCCTTTTTGCAACTCGATAAAATTATATTCCATTGTTCTAAAAAAAAATTCAGAATGCGGATAATTATTGACACGTTAATATGTGCAACTTCAGAATTCGATAATTTTAATGCATCAGGTGACACAACTAACGTATCTCATATTTCGATTGATAGGCTGACGCAAAATGATTAATAAATAATTTGTTAAATAATACGAAATTTTTAGTTATTATTTTAAATAATGATTATTCAAATTTTATATAATAATTTATATTACAATAATTTGATTTTTAAAAATAAAATTTTATATTTAATAATTACACTTAGGGATGCTAATGATTACGGTCATGACCGTTCATAACCGTGACCGATATCGGTCATATCGGTCAGTCAAAGGTTTTTGACCAACCGTTTTTGACTTATTTTGACCGACCAGTTGACCAAACATTTTTTAATTAGTAATCCAAGAATTCTTTGCATTCACTAAATATGAAAGTAAACTTAATATGCATATGTTAGCCTAAAAGAAATACAGTAAGTAAAGTATTTAAAAATAGAAAGTTTAGCAAATGCTATTTTAATGTTAAATGGCAATCTGTCAGCAAAAACGGTCGGTCAACCGGTCGGTTGATCAAAGGCCTCTGACCGTTGACCGACCATTAACCGACCATGACCGACCGTTACCATACTATTAAATATATAAAAGATTTTTAACTTTAATTTTATAATTTTTCATAAATATTAAAATTGACTTATTATTCAATATATAAAATATTCTTTTATTTATTTAGTATACCGTAATCATAAAAAAAACTGTTATTATAATCAAATAGAATAATATTAAATTTTAATATTTAAGTTATTTAAATACTAATGTCATTACCTAATTTAAATAATTATATACAGTAAGTCGGAAATTAAGCAATATTAATTGTTATTATTTATTTAACCTGTTTTGGAAAATATTATTACGGTTCTTCAAATCGTTCCTGATTAGATTATTCATTTTCAACAAACAGCCCTATAGGAAATTTTATCATTTATTATTAATAATTTAAGCAAATGTCAAAATAAATGATATTAATTATCCAAACTTGGCCAATCGAATAAATATTTACAAGTTGTAAAACTACTTCAATGATATTTTTTTGGAAGCGCAATATCGAGTTACCTTTTTTTTTTTAAAAAAAAAGAAATCATTCAATACGTATATATATTTTTATTCTTATAATGTTTAAAGTCAAGTTATCGGGGAATACCGACAAATTGTTACCTTATTAGAGGGATGAAAATAGTAAAGTATCTCCGCGAGATGATTTTTATTTGTCTCGGGAGCGATGATATACAATAAATCATTTTTCTTTGTGAGACTATGCGAAAAAGATCATTTGCATTTGATATTAATAATGAGAAGGGAAACTTTTAATTCAGAAAAGAACGAATCAAAGAGAGGAGATGGAAATATTACGTGTTATCCCGATCGAAAGATTTCTTTGCAAGTCTATATTTGAAGGGGATCGACCAACCTTCAAAACTATAATTAGAAGTCATTGTTTTTTTGTGTTTAATGATGCATATCGTGATATTGTACGACTCAGCGAGACATGACGACCGAATATGTTTCATGTGTATAACCATTAAATAGATCACACAATTGATATTCCGTCAATAAGTGAATTTCAAGCATATTAATAAAAAATTAAACCTTCAAATCCATAATAATTCAAAAAAAAAAAACCAAAAAAAATTTTTTTTTTCAGAGAAACAGACGTAATCGGGAACCCCACAAAAAGATAGTGAATAAACTTTGAACAATGTGCGATATCATGAATAGGGGCCAGACTAGGTTTCCTAAACTAATATTAACAAACCCTGTCATTTAATTAAATATTTTGAAAAAATTCTCTTTAAATCTAAATTAGGCCAAGACAATCTACTTATTCACTTATTCAAAGGGTTTTAATTTATAATATTTGGGTCATGACATTGTTTTTAAAAGTAATTAATTGAATGGAAATCAGTTGAGGTAAAAAAATGCTTTCATTGCTTGTTTCGGCCGTCTCTTGAGACATACATGATGCACATCTTGCCTCAAAAGGCTAAGTGTATAATATTATTTATTAACTATACTAGTTTCTTTTATAGAATTCTTTATGATATAAAAAATTTATATAAAAAAGAAACAACGCCTGGTTTGTTCTCGATTAAATATAGTGGCGGTTTTTAAGACTTAAGAGATTAAGTCAATTAAACTGAAAAAAATTGATATAAAGAGAACTAAAAAAAAAAAAAGTGTTTGAAACGCTTTTTTTTTCTTTTTTTTTTTTTTTATTAAATTCTCTTCTCACTTTGCATCTTTTCCTCCAATAATTTTATCGCATCCAATTTTTTACATGGATTTCTAGAGAAATTGAATTTTTAAAGTAAGTATACATAGTATAATTTAGTTTACAGTTGAAATCTTAGGCATGGGTGACGTATAAGACATATGTTGATTATTTATTGTTCCCTACGTAGGTTGAGTCCCATCTATCAATAAGATTCCCACATATCTAAACTTGTCGCTCAAGAGAATTTATTTAGCTTAATCGAGGAACAAACGGCACAATTTATGTTATTTTAATTTTTTTTTCATTGTCCATTATTATACACATACATTTGTAAATATTTAATTTCGCACAAAAAAAAACTCCATCATTTTCCTTTGTAATATATATACACACATATATATTTCTTGGACTTTTGCTATTTCTTATCCTTTTTTCCTCTCGTCACACATTAATTAATCATTGATTGATTATATAATACCAACCTCAGCCCAAAAACGTTTAACGATTTTACCGAGACTTACCGCTTCTACTTTCATCAACTTTCCTTCAAACAATATAACAACACAATAGCTCATTCAAGTTTTTATTCCTTCCCTTTTTTAACTTTTGTCTCAATACTTTTTAAATAATTGTTATTAAAAGCATCAAAAAAAGCAAAAAGGTTGAAAGGATATTTTTCTTGACAAAAATTTGTAAATACACTAAAAAATATAGCATATGACACATTCAAGCGACCTAACATATTTATGTATGTTTGGAATATTTTTTTCTTTTTTTTTTCCTTCATGGGTGAACGGTACTAATAAATATTATTGATGTTGATAGCTCGTGCGGTATTCGTCTCGTGGACCTTCCTTTGGTTCTTACAACATGTGTGGAATATTGATAGATTCGATGCATTAAGGTGGAAACGTGTTAAAAAATACGAATTGGTAAGTTCGTTCGAAAACAAACGCGCAATTTCTAACTGCGGATGGCGCAGAACCCTCGAGAATTTGCGTATCACGTGCTAACATATTTTTTTTTTTAACAATTGCAGAAATCAGTAATTACAATCTTACTGGTAATTATGTGCCCGTTACAAGCCTTTTATGATATAATGATATCAAACGTAAAATATCATGAAGGTTTTTGGGTAAATCCATTAAACGGCGACATTATTTCGAAGCCGCATCAATTTTGGAGCAAAAGCAACGATGACTTGGTGGTGCCAACTAACTATATCCTCTGCGCAAACTTTAGTTTACAAACGTACGTATGATCTAAAAAAAAAATTATGCATAAATTTTTCTTTTTTTATTGTCCCGATCTTATTTCTAACCATGAACTTCGTTTTTTTATTTTCTTTTCACCGCAGTTGCTTGTTGTTTTTACTTCAATCATTTTGGAATTATCTCGCCAATAATTTGGCAAAGACTTCTTTTATGGGTAGTTTCGAATTCAAATCATACATTATATATTCAATATTTAGTGTTTTCATTTTCCCTTTATTACAATTTATCTATCGAGACGATACGTTTTACACCGAAATCATCCCTCAATTAGCCTACGCGATATTCATGTTCTTAATCGCAATGTTGGGAATAAGATCTCATAGTAGATTCACAAATTTATTACGCGTGACGAAAAATGCAAAGACGCCCCATATTAACATAATATTAAAGTTGGAATATTTTAGAGATATGAATAGATATTTAACGTGGGGTCTTTTAATCGGATCGGCCTCATTCATGATTCTCTGTATTGATGGTTTGACCACTTCGAAATATCTTATCTCGCATAAATTCGCATCAGACCTTATATTATGTCATGTAAATTTTTCACTTTGGATCGTATTCGTTACTCTGATCTTAATATTTTATCCATCCACAAGTACGTTAAATGATACGATTACTATAGCAAAGGGGTCCACCTCATTATCTTCGGCGAGCACAAAAGGGATATCAAGGAATAATTTAGAACCACCAAATCCACAATGGACGAGATCATTAAATGTTGATGATAGTCAAAGTCAAAGTCATTGGTCGACTTCTCAACAGACAAATTCTCAAATAGATGCTAACAGTTATCTTGTAGAAATACATGAAGAATTGCCTCCCCCAATGCAGCTTTATCATGAAAAAAGATTAAATCCAATAGAAATTTCTAATCTTCCACTTTCACCTCCACTATCTCCCCCTTCATCTTATCATCATTTTGTTCCTTCAATTCCCCCCAATTCCCCACCACCTCCTCCACCGTTACCAAAACATCAGATAATAATTCCCCCATCGCCGATATTCAATCCCATCACGCAATCTCCCACTTCATGCTTCAAACAATCAAAATTAAAATATCCATCTTCACCATTAATACCGAGAAATAACAGTTTTGATAACATTAAAAGTGTTTATGATAATGAGAATACATGTCATTTACCTCATTCTCCCCCGGTTCATTCTCCGTTAAATCAATCTCATTTTGTGAATGATTCCATAATATCACCTTTACCAAGGAAAATTTCGGATGGTTCTTTATTAGATTCTTTTATGAGACCTTCCCTACCGAAAAAATCTCCTAGAAGGCCTTCCGTAACGTCGAATAATTCCCCTTCAATTATCAGGGGTACAACTTCTACAACTTCTTTAAGTTCATCTGCCACCGCGAATTCGGTCACACTTCCTTCATCCGATGAAGAAACGATTAATAAGATTACTAATTTGGATACAAGAGTAGTTGCTCCTTTTATGTATCAAGAAATACCCATACAGCAAGATCCACTAGAAAGATCTATATCTTCAACTGCACATTCCCCATCACCAACTCCCACTAACACAAAAGCTGGTGAAAAATTTCAAAAGAGACGAGAAGAATCTAGGAGACAACAACAGAAATCAATTTCTCAAAGAAGCACCCCAATAGATTCTTCATCACAACAAAGACCAAAGCTCGGCATCACAAAAACTTCACAAGCAATTGTTGTGCAACAATCAAGAAATTCTTCACCAAGTCTTGTAAAATTTGCAACTACGGCAAATAATAAAGGTAACCCTCCTTCATCCACACAAAGGGTTCCTCCTACATCGAAATCATCACAACCGTTCAGCACATCACGGACGCCTAAAACTCATTCACAAGTTTCCACGAGATCTTATCATGGTTCACCTCTCGTTATAAGGAGTGGAGGTTGTAGTGAAACCGCAGGTTCCACCTCCACAATAAAGAAATCATCTCCTACGCAACCCAATAACTTGGAAGGTACTGCGGTGAGAATTAGGAGCGGAGGGGTTAAGGGAGTTGCGGTCGGTGTAACAAATAGCGCTAGGAATAGTGCAGTGAAGAATAATGCCACAAAAAAAGATTCAAATAGTACTACAGCAATTATTGGTAATGGTAAAGTGAATTCAACGAGCAATGTGAGAAATAGCCTTTTGGGAGGCAGAACGAGATCCAATAGTATCGCGGATGTTGGAGCTAATATTGTGTTCGAAAGGTTAAGATCAGAAACCATCTCTTCGAGTGTAAAAGCAAAGGCAAAAACAAAAACAAAAACAATTGGGAGAAATCGATCCGTTAGCTCTTCCAGTAATTCAAGTACTTCCAGTACTTCAAGTTCTGGAAGTATTAGGAAAATAATTAAAGCGGGAATGGGAAAAGTGAAGAGGGAAAGTAAAATCTCTTAAAAAAATTAATTCATTAAAAATTCATTAAAAAAAAATTTAGATTAAAAATTATACCTGTATTAAAAGATTATAAAAAACACCATATCGATAATATATAATAATTTTATTTAATTTTTTTTTTTTTTTATTATATATAATCTGTAGATAAATATACTTTGAATTTTTTTTTCTTTTTGTTTATAAATATTTTGTATACTTAACTTATTTTTTAACGATTTAATCTAATGAAGTTTAATAAAAATTTCACCTGAATTAATCGCATCTTGATTCAACAAATTATAAAAAATGAATAGTTAGATATATTTTTTATTGACAAATAAAAAATAGAAATTGAGATATTTTTAAGGAGATTTTTTTTTTTAAAAAAAAAAAGGCAATTCAATTTTGTCAGAAATACCACGTATGAAAAAAGGTGAACTGATAGATTAAACTCAATATAATATTAACCAAAGTCAAGTAAATACGAACACCAACACCAATAAAGTGTTAAATTCCGTTATAAATCACTCGCAAAAAAAAGTATCAAATCTTTGAATAGAATAAAATTAGCCGCAGCAACTTTGGCGGTTTGCCGCAGTAAATAAATCAACGCAAGTTATGTGAAAAATTTATTTAAGCAAATGGTGCATTACATGATAAAAGAAATCCCGTTGATAAAAGAAATAAACTATAAAAAGATTCTTAAAAGGAAAACCTTTTCATTGAAATAACAGGAAAAAAGATTAAAACATTATAAAACATTATCTACTCATGAATTGTCGCCCAGCCTATAATATTAAGCCATAGCAATGAAAAAAACGGCGACACCACAAGCAGCACCAAGGGCGGTTTGATAAACATCCCATTTCATGATTGAAGCACCAGCAGTTTGAGTAGGTTTATCAGAAATTGTGGTGGTTGGACTAGTTGCCATATGAGTTTGAGTAGAAGAAGTTCGCGTAAAGGTATCTGTATAAGTTGGCGAAACGATTTGAGATGATGTGATGTCCGTGGTGGTGGCTGCGGTAAAGCAATAAATAAAGAAATAGGGTCAGTTAATGCAAATGTATATTATAAGATATTAAGGAAGATGTGAATAATTCTGGTTTGAATATTCATTTGAAAAACAAATAAACAAAATAAAATTCTTTTCGCCTGATTTGAAGATAAATTTCTTTTTTAACTTACCAACATCACTTGAAGAAGTTGTTGAAATCATAGCCGTGGGAACATACGTGGTCGTAACAAATGTGTCCGTTGGAGCTTGTGCTGCTGCCAAACCCCCAAAAATGCTCATAAAAGGTACAACAAATATCATGAAAATAATATAGACGGATGGCAATGTAATCTTCATATTGTTTTCGTTTTTGGAAATATTTACTTTTTTTTATGTAAAATAAATGAGACTTGGAAATGTTTATGTGAAAAATAAAATTTTTTTTTCTTTGGAGGTTTATATATGTTACGCAATTATTAAATATACTTTGTTTCGTGAATTGATATCAGATTAGTTGATATTATTAAATTTGGATTCATATTCCGATGTAAACTGTGTAACTGATATCTTTCCTCGTGATGTTGACACTTCATTATATTTTTTACCAGTAAGGTTTTAAAATTATCGTGAACAATGATTCTATTGTATGTCAAGACTTTATTGTGAGATTGTTAAAGTCCTTGCGAAGCCCGAGAAATTTTCGAGTCTTTAATCGATTCATTAATAGTTGTTAAAAAACCCTGATATCACACATGAAATTTTAATTTTGATTTGCTACTTTTTTTTATTTTCATGAATTAAGATTTATAAATTTCGTTTCTAACAAAAAAATCAAAAAATCATGAAAGAAAGTTCAAAGCCAGGTGAAGATCCTTTAAATTATGGTTTTTTGAGCAAATTACACTTTGCAATATAATTTGAACCTAAGAAAACCTATCCCAAGTGCCTGATAAAAAAGGATCGAACTAAAACATCTTTCGATTATAAGCATTACTACGCCACAAACATTCCATTTATATCAAACAATAACAGAATCACATTTCGTGAAACATGAATTAAATTTAAATGCCTTCAAAAAAATTTTTTCTTTTTTTTTTTAATAAAAAAAACTTTTAAAAGATTCTCAATTTTTATAAAAAAAAAAAAAAGACATTTGAATTTTTAACTGAATTTTCTCAAAGCTTTTCTCATTTGTTTGATAATGCAGATGATTATAATGTTAAAATTGAAGTTGGAGAGATTCCGTATACAAAAGAATTTCGAGCTCACTCTGTTATATTGAGAGCTCGATCACCTTACTTTAAAAGAGCACTCTCTACGGATTGGGCTATAGAGAAAAAAAATATGATTGAATTTAAAAAACCGAACATTTCTCCTAATGTCTTTGAAATGATTATTAGGTAATATATATCTTGTTTTTTATAATATGAAAGGGCGTATGATGTATGAACAATTATAAGAAGTTTGTCCTAAATCGGAATTTTAAAAAGCCAAAAAAATGAAATAAACATTATAAATTTTTCTTCATTTTTTTTTTCTTATAGATACATGTATACTGGCATTCTTGATGTGAGAGGACAATCTACTTTGGACGTTTTTAATCTTCTTATAGCGTCTGATGAATTGCTTCTTGAGGGATTGACTAATTTCATACAAAAATATTTGATTGAAGAACAAAATGGATGGCTACAACGAAATTTAGTCAAAGTTCATCAAATAGTATTCCAACTGGAAAGTTGCAAAAAGCTCCAAGATTATTGTTTAGAATGTATTTGTGATGATCCTATACCTTTTTTTAAATTGCCGGAATTTCCAACTTTACAAAAAAGTATTCTGCTTGATTTGATTAAAGGAGATTTACAAATTGATGAAATTGATTTATGGAACCACCTCATTCGATGGGGAATCGCCCAAAATTCGGAATTGAGCTTGATGGATTTAAGTAATTGGAATGTTGAGGACTTCTTGGCTTTAAAGTACATTTTGAACCCATTTATCCCTTACATTCGATTCTTTGAAATTTCGTCAAAAGATTTTCATAATCAGGTTCGACCTTATAAAAAAGTGTTACCTGAAGAACTTTTTGAAAGTGTTTTATCATTCTATATGACAAATTCTCGACCTAGAGATATTTTGCCTCCTCGTTATGGAAAGATTGCTGTTAATTCAAAAATCATTACCCCAAAACATGCGGCCATCCTTGCTAATTGGATTCAAAGAAAACATGCCAATGCAATAATTCCAAAGGACCATAGATATAATATGAACCTTATTTACCGTGGAAATAGAGACGGTTTTGATATCAATGCTATACGTAATAAATGTAATGGACAGGTTGGGTGTATTTTGATTATTAAAATTGTCGGAGGGACTGTGATCGGTGGTTATAATCCTCTTGGTTGGAAAGCTTATGGATCGAACATTGCTACTTTTAATAGAAATAACGACAACAATAATATGAATAATACTCGAAGGAGCAATAATAATAATATTTATAGGGGTAGTACTTATAGGAGTAATAGCAACAACAATAATAATACTTTTAGGAACAACAATGATAGGGATTTGGATTACACTAATAGTGTTGCTAATAATTATTGGGTTAATAATAATGAATGTTTTCTGTTTTCGATGGGTAATAGAGATGATTTAAGAAACGTTAAGATTAGTCGAGTTGAACATAGCGCATATGCAATGTATGAATCGAATTGTTATAATCAAATATTGAACTTTGGTAATGGCGATTTGGTTGTTAACAATAAGAAAGGTAGATGTCAACAAAAATATTATGAAAGTAGAATTTTAGATATTTCTGAATTTGACATCGAGGAAATGGAAATATTTGCATTTTCCATCCAAAAGTTCGTTGTTGCAAGAATGTTCGAAAGTTTATCTTCGTATTTTAAAAATTAAAGATGTTTTCGTTTGATGAATGTTATAGAAATTTATTTCATATCAACACTATTACTCCAAAACATTTCTTAAACCATCAAACACATAACTGTATATTTAAATTTCATCCATATATTATCTCTGATTAAAATAGAAAAATCATTTATTTATTACTAAACGTTATTATTTTAACCGGGTCGATTTGGTAAAATAAAAATCATTTAAAATAAACTACATCATCATCCATTAACTGGAAAATGATGCTTTATATATAACTTTATTTTTTTTTTTTGTAATTTTGATACGAAAAAAAAAATCATTCAAAAATGCAATGAGATTTGCTAGATAATTTAGCAAATGTTGTCTTTCAGTAACTTTCTTATTACAATAGGGATTTCATTTTTATCATTCATAATATACAGTATTTATTAATTTATACAAATAAGAAAATTAATTCTATAATTAATAAATCCTTTTGTTTATATAATTAAAAATTATTATGCTAACAGTCAAACCTCCATAAATGCACTCTATAAATGCATATACCATATATTTTCTTTCTAAATACATACTCTCATTAAGTCTTAAGCATATACAAATCATAAAAATCTTCTCTTTAAATGCATATTTTTTCAAATTTTGTACTAATATTCCGAGAGGTATATTTAGAAAGTTTGACAATAATTATAAAAAATAAATATAATTAAATTATTTTATTTTATTTTTTTTATAGTTTATTAAAAATTATTTATTATAAAAAATAATAATTTGATATATTAAAAATAAATTATTAAATTTATTTAAGTTACTAATTTTTATAATTATTTTTTTTTGAAATTTATAAAAAAAAATTATTTTTATATTATTTTTGTTATTTTTTATAATAAAATAAAATCTGTATTTTTTTTTCTAAAATTATAAATACTTTAATTCTAAAAATTAATAATTATTAATATTAAATAAAATATTAAAATTAAAAATAAAATTAATATTTAAAAAAATGTAAGATATATAATATATTTATAATAAAATTGGTAAACTTTAAGAAAATATAAAAATCTAAAAAATTGGTTAAAAATCAGTTTAAAAAAATGGTATTAAAAAACAATATTAATTTTAATACTTTAAATAAGATTTTATAATATTTTATAATTTGATTTATTATTTGAATATTTAATTTAAAAATTATTTAAATACAAATTCAAATTAACCTTTATTTAATTTGATCAAATTTAAATCAAAGAATAATTTATTTAATTATATAAATTAAACTATAATTTGATTTAATCAAATTTAAATCAATTTTTAAATATTTTATTTAATTTAAATAGTAAAATTTTTATAATTTTCATTATAAAAACTATTTTTAAAGTTATATTTAAAATTTTAAAGAGTATTTTATTAATAATTTTTTAATAAAGTCTTTAAAAAATAATTTCTATATAAATATTTAATTATATTATTAAAAAAAATTTTTATTTGATAAATCAAATCAATTTAATTTGATTTTAAAAATTTTAAAAATATAAAAAATAAAAAATTTTATTTTTTTTTTTTAGTAAAATAAGCTCAGATTTAAATTATCTAAAAATGTTTTTGAAGTTTAGTATTTTTTTACTACAAAAGTACTTATATAATAAATTATATAAAAAATCAAAAGTAAAATTTATTAACCTGTAAAATTAGAATATTTATATTAAAATTTTATTAAAAATTTAAAAATTTGTAAAATAAAAATTTAGTTATTTTATTATTTTATCAAATCTAAAATTAAAATTATTTTTTTTAATAATGAATAATTATTCAAAATATAATACTATTTGAAATCTATTTTAATGTATAACTTAAAATTTCAAAACCTTTAAAATAACTTTCTTAAATATAAAATTTGATTAAACTTCATTGAATTTAGAAAAACTTATTAGAAATTTAGATAAAGATATTTATTATAAACAAATAATTTAATCTCAAATATCTTAAATTCAAAATTGTCTAAGAATATTTTAGGGAACATAACTTAATTATATATTGATATATATTATTTTTTAATCATTTAAATTTTAGATTATATTAAAATCAGATCAGATTTTATTAAATTTTTTCAAATTTATATAATATTTATCAACATAATTATAAAAGTTTTAAATAATAAATAATTATAAAATATATAACTAGAAATCCTAATAAAATGGCTATATATAATGTTGAACTGAAAATTAGAAATAATGAATGGTCGAATTCCAATTCTTTATTCTACTAAATTTTTTTACTATATAGGAAGTTTGCTAGGAAAATGGGGTTCTGAGAATTTTTTGACTAAAATTTCGTATTTATTGCATTTTATTCTAATATACTCAAAATTTTATTAAAAAATTTTCAAGAACTCCATTTCCTAGCAAACCTCCCATATATTAAACTGTATTACATCATATATCTAGTACAAATTTAGCTCGACTCTTAATTAAACATCTTTTAATGCTGAAAATAGATTAAAATACGTAATGCATTTTTACGCCATTTGCAGTTATTTGTTGCTGATCCTCCTTGTATTCGGTAATTTGATAATCTACTGTATAATGCAAAAAAGTTTTTGTTTTCCATATTTGTCAATTTGTCATTGTTCAACGCTTTGGTTAATGATGTTTAAGCCATTATATAAATGAATGGTGAACTAAAAGCCTTGAGCCTTTCTCTCTCTCTTGAATTTTTTTTTTGTTTCGTAAAATACACAAATTATATTTTTTATATTGAACGCTATTACATGCAAGAATGGAAAAAGGAATGCAAAAACTTTCTATACAACAGAATTCTTTGCAAATTCCCTGCAGACAAGGTATAGGAACCATTGGTCCAAAAGTTGAGCTTCGTGCTAATTATGTTAAAGTTAAAGAGGTAACTTTCAAATATTTTGTTTTTATATTTAAACATGGAACTTTTATATCATTTACACTTTATCTTAAAATATAATTTTGATCCTTTAAATATAAAGGTCCCAAATTTAAAACTTCTTCAGTATAATTTTGATGTCATTACATCTCGTGATAGACAAGCGAATAGATCAGTTCGAGGAAAAGTTTTCGTTGAAATGGTTAAACAAAATAAATTTGGTAAATGTATACCGGTATATGATTGGAATGATTTGATTTATTGTTCAGCTAGATTACCAACTATTGGAAAAGAAGTTTGTGTTTTTTTCTTTATCAATTGGTTTTTTTTAAGGAAAAAAAGATACTTATTTAAAATTCATTTCTTTTTAGGTAATTATTCCACCAAGTGAAGATGGTTATGATAGACCTACACCATTCACCGTAAAAGTTACCTATCACAAAGAAATTAATTTACAAGTTTTAAGGGATTATATTACTTCAGAGAAAGTACCGCAAGGATCAGATGATTATGTTCAAACTTGTGTTCACGCGCTTAATGCATACATAAATTACAAGGTGCGAACAAGTTTTTTATCAGTTGGAAGAGGAATTTATCCCCCTATCAATGAGGAAAGAAGAATTTTGTTACAAAGTGGAGAAGAATTAAGAAAAGGATTTTGTCAATCTTTGAGAATCGGATGGAGTAAGTTATCTTCCAATTTAAATATTACTAGGCAACGGTTTCATAAACCGTTGTTTAGTCCAGAGCACAAGCGTAATGAAAGGGAATAATCCCATATCGACTCAAATTTTGAGCAGGCGGACATATATAGTCCTTCACTACGCTCCGGACCAGCTTACAATATAGTTAGGCTTATACATTCATTTTTCGTAAAATTTTACAGAAGAGCTTCTTGTTAACGTCGACACGTGTTCTGGCGTTTTTTTTCCACCTGGAAATGTTGTAAATGTTATTGGTGGTCTCATAAGATACAGCGAAAGTGATATGAAATTGGGACTTTATGATGAAGAAAGAAATTTTTTAAATAAGGTGAATAGAAATTTATATGTTGAAATTATAAATTGTTTGTGATTTTACTTAAAAAATTTTTTATAATTTATAGATGTTGAAAGGAATAAAAATTTTCGTCCGGTATCGTGATGATAAAAGGGATAATTTTACTATTGATGGCTTAACACGTGAATCAGCAGATACGACTACATTTAATGGCCAAGATAACAAAAGTTCGACAGTTAGTCAATACTTCCAGGAAACATATGGAAAAAAGCTTGAATTTGGAAAGTTGCCTTGTATCATTGTTAAGAAAAAAATTTATCTTCCTCTAGAAGTCTGTGAAATTATACCAGGTTTGTTTCAGACAATTAAACTATCTTTTATTTTATTTCTTTTTCTTATACGTAATTCATTTTTTTAGACCAACCTTTCAGAGGTAATATCAGTGAGAATGCTCGCGCCGAAATGATAAAACATACATGTGTCAAACCCGCTGATCGTTTTAGAACCATTGATGATTCATTTCGAAATTTCTTTCGTTATGATCAAAATGAGCATTTGAAATCGATTAATATGAATATTGATATTAATACAAGGGTCGTAGTTGAAGGTAGGAGTCAATATATTTTGTTCTCTACAATAGAATATATTAATGAATTAATTTTCCTTAGGACGTCGTCTTCCTCCTGTAAATTTGAGATTTATTGAAAGTAAAGGTCGGCAAGTTTCAGTTCCAGCTGAAGTACCTGTACCAGATGCACGCTGGAATTATGTAAATCGAAAATTTCTTGATGTAAGTTAAAATAAATAGGAAATTCAATATATTCTTATTATTAACAATATTTTCCTGAAAATAAATTAGCCCAAGACTATAGTTAATTGGTCCGTATTATTATTGACCAAAGATCATCCGAGAATTGTTGATGATTTTATGCGAAAATTTCGCGACGTTCTAATTAATAAGGGAATGGTAATATTACGTCGTTTTATCTTTATTTAGATATTATTATAGATCAGAATTGCTTATTTTTATTTAATATAGAATGTTGTGGATGTCCCAAAAGTAGTTCCTTTTTTTAGGCAAAGAAAGATCGAGGAGGTAAATTATTACTTAAATGATTTCATTATGTAAAATTCTCATACTTAAATTTTTTTTTTTTTAACAAAACTTTAGGGATTAGCTTTGGCTATTAAAAGCGCTAGCATAGTTAAGGATATGCCACGGTTGGTTATAGTCATAATGTCAGATCGATCCTCTTTATATGGTGAAATCAAACGTTATGAAGAAGCTGGTATGGGTGTGATTACTCAAGTCATATTGTCCAAACATTTTAAAAAGTCAAACGAGCAACTATTTGTAAATATTGGCTTAAAAATCAATAAAAAACTTGGAGGGAACAATTGTTCACTCTCAAATAAACAGCAGATGAGTTTTATATCTTCGGCACCGGTACGAATATAATTTAAGCTATGAATAATTTGATTATTTTTTATATTAAATAATTTATTTCATCTTGATTATAATGTTTAGACAATGGTGTTTGGTGCAGATGTATACCATTCAGGTAAAAATGAACAAAGTGTACCTAGCATTGCTGCAGTTTGCGCTTCCATGGATCAAGATGCTATTGTTTATGGTCACACGTATAGTATGAACAAAAAGCCACGTAATGAAACGATTGAAGATTTAGAAGAAATGGTATCTGACCTAATAAAAACTTTCAAGAATAGAAATGGTTGTTTTCCTCAAAAAATTTTATTCTATCGTGATGGAGTTAGCGAGGGGCAATTTAAGAAAGTTTTAGAAGAAGAGGTGAAAGCAATGAAAAAAGCTTTTGAAAATGTTTGCGGCAATAGAATTCCAAAATTGACTTTTGTTATTGTGCAGAAAAGGCATAACACTAGGTAATAAACACAAAGTTATATATTTGTTAAGATGCTTTTCCATTCTCTTACCTTTCTTTATATATATTCTAGGTTTATGCCAACTAATACACGTGAAGCTGATCGTCTTGGTAATTGCAAACCAGGAACAGTTGTTGATACAGGGGTTGTAGCGAAACATGAATTTGATTTTTGTAAGTTTTTACTCATTAATAATGTGTAATATTTATAGGTTAATAAGATATTAATTATGAATATGTATTTTTACTTAGTCCTGCAATCTCATGCCAGCCTTCAAGGTACTGCGCGTTCAGCCCATTATCGTGTATTGGTAGACGAAAACAAATTTAATGCCGATTCCATTCAAGAGTTAACTAATAAGTTATGCTATTTGAATGCAAGGTATGTAATTCATGAATTAACTTAACTCTCTTAATTATTATATTAGAAATGTTTATAAATTTTCTTTAATATTAAATGCAGGTGCACATCAGCTATATCAATAGTAACTCCCGCATACTATGCGCATCTAATTGCAAATCGTGCAAGACATTGCCTCATTAAGGATAAACACGATAATTATTTTCTTCCAGAATTGAATAAAAATCGAATAATTTCAATGAATTATGTTTAAAGTTTAATTTCATATTTTGGAGAGAAATGTATTTGATTATATAGAGTTTTTTTTTTCATCTAGCATAACATTTTCATATAAAAGAGATATAGCTTATTCCTTATAGATAATTATTTCATCAAGTATTTCACGTTAAAGATTTATATTTTTATAGTTAATAAAAAAAATACTAGTTATTTTATTAATTAATATTAAAAAAAAAATAATAATAAGGGTTATATGATGATAATCAAAAAATATTTAGTTATGCTTTAATCTTTATTCAATTATCAAATTGCATATAAATAATTTGTTTATTATATATAATATGGGTTAGTTGCATTTTAATTTTTATTACATTTAGACTAAAATGTAATAAGATCTTAATTTTAGTATCTGATTTTCTTAGATCATGACCATATGGAAAATGAAGGAAAATAAAATGTTACATAAATATATTTCAGTCTGAAATTCATATTTGGACATATAAAAGTAAATAGATTTTTCCGATAGATTTCTTTCTATTACATACTATATTCAAATTAAAAAATAAATACCTTTTGCATGTTTTATTATACATGTCAATTTAAATTATTTTTGCCTTTTTGAAATAACTTTATACAGATTTCTATTTATACAAATATAGTTAAGGTTATTAAAAAATTTAATAGTAGATGTGTAATAATAATGCAATAATTTATTATAAATTTATTTTGTAATTTAAATATAAAATAACAATTCCTTTAAGTATTCTTATTAAGTTTTTTAATTAATACCTTCAATGAAGCATTTGTTTTATCTCACTTAATAATAAAAATTAGTTTATTTACAACCAAATGTTTTTCTTGATTCAAAGATCAAATAAAATTTCATTTGAATATCAATTGGTATAGATTGTTAAGTTTTATGTTTATTATGATTTCATTATTAATAAATAATAATATATCTAAATTTGATATTTGACGAAATAAAATAATTTTAATCTTATCAAATCTTTTAGTATTAATAATAAAATCATCATTATTATTTATTCCTATTTTTTTTATCTTCAATAAGTTTTATATTTCAATATGTTTTTTTAAATTCCTTTTAATTTGTTATTATTAATCTAAAAATTGACAGATAATTGATGATATATCATAAAATTTTCTAATCAGATTGGCTTAGTTTATTTCATTTTTTATTTGTTTAATTAATTATTTTATTACATTTTATATGACATGCAAAATGTTATCATGAATCTTTTGAGATTTTATTTTTAGAAAGTGATTTATATATTCAAAAACAAATAAGTTAAAATAAATAATATATTACATTTTATATATTACTTAAATTTTTTAATAATTTTATTAAAACCTATTATTAACACTTATAATTAAAATCTATTATTAATATTTTAGTTTCAAGTAATATTACATCATAAATAAATTAGTTTACTTAGATTTATTAATAACAAAATTTTTATATAAAGAACAAAAAATGATAATTTTAAATTATTAAATGTAGAATTCATCAAATTAATATAAAAATTATTATTCCAAGCGAAGTAGAATTTTTGATCAGAATTGAAGTTGCTATTTTAATTACTAAAAATTAATTTTAGTTAAACAAAACTAGTTTTGGTAGTTTTGGTAGTTTGGCTATTTACTAAATTAGTTTTAATACTTAATTTAATTACATTTAGTAAGTTTAAATTATAGAATTTTAGTTTCAAATAATAACATTAATTAGGATATATCTTATACTTTAAATTAATCTATTAAGATGTATTAAAAGAATTTTTTCTTGTCATATAAATAAAGATAATTTAACTTTATTTTTCTTATATATTAAAGAATCATATTATTATATTATAGTAGGTAAAGTTAGAACTTTTTTTAAATTAACTTATAAATTATTTTTACAAGAAGAAGAAAAGGATTTTATTAATATTTAGAAGACTTTTGAAAAACCAAAAAGTTTATTATATTTATCAAATTCAATTTATGATGTTAGATTATTTTTTATTAATTATAATGATACTTTTTATATTATATCAGTTTTTAAAAAAATATAAGTATAAAAATATAATAAAGTTAAACTTTTTTAAGAAAGAATTTAAACATATTAATTTAATATCAAAATATATTATACTTTAATAAATATATATTGTTAAAATAATGAAAATTATTTTTAGTAATAAATTAATTTCAAATAAATATAATAAATACAAAATATCAAAAAATTTTTTTAAAGGTATGTTTATAAAATTTAATTATAAAAATATATTTTAATTATTAATATATTTTTATTTTATTTTATAATATTAAAATAAATTTTTGTATATTTTATTAATCTATATTTCATATTAATATGCTTTTTTTTTTATTCATAAAATTTATAAATGTTTAATATATTATTAAAGATATGACATATTGTATTTTTAAAAAATCATGTATTATTAATTTTTTATCTTGTTGATATGATAAAAACTACTAATATATATGAATAAATTATTAGTTTAGATTTTGTAGTTATAATATAAATGGAGGCTTTTTAAAATTTCTAGTAAGATATAGTGTATCATTAATATTAAGTTATACTACTTATATTATGATTGGATTTTTCAATCCAAATTTCTTGAAATATGATTCCTGATCTTATTAAATTAATTTTTTTTTATATATGACTAAAGATAGGCATTATAATTAAAAAAAATAATGCAATTGAGTTGAAACTTGTGGCACAATAAATTTTCTTATGAAGCAATTAAGTTGCAACTCAATTGAAATTTGAAAATAATTATGAAAACCATTTTTATATATAACATATGATTATAGAAGCATTGATATAAAATAATAAAATAGTATTATAAGTAGTTTTTAGATATAATATAAAATTTTCAACTTTTTTATATTAATATATTGCTTTAAAAATAAATAAATATTTATTCTTTACTATATATATTAACCATTGTGAAATGCTAAATTTATTATGCTAATATATATTAATATTTTATTTTTTTAAAAAAATTTCTCATCAAATATATATATATAGTAAGACTTCTCTAAATGCATCTTCCCTAAATATGTGTATTATATATGTTTTCTATAAATATATATTTCATAAAGCTCAAGTATATAAGATCATACAAAATTTTTTTCTTTAAATATATATTCGCTTTAAACACATTTTTTTAAATTTTCATTATAATTCTAAAAATATGTATATATTTAAAGAAATTTCACTGTAGTTTCTTTTATAATTCTTATACAAATTAATCCAATATTATCATATTTCAGAAAGTATTAATAATCAATAATAAAATAAATAGTAGAAATAAAGGTATCAGTTATTTATACTTCTCACTTTTATTATTTATATTCCTATATAATAAATCATCATATGATTGAATGATATAAAATCATGTGATTACATAAAAATTTTACTATGCTATTCATTATAAAATAATAATGAAATATGAGCTTAATATAAACTTGCTAATCATAATTAAAGCTTCTTTCTCACAATTTATTTTTATTATTAAATTTCAAATTTAACTATAATTATTAAAATGCTTTCATCACCTCTTACTAAATATAAGAAGTATAATATACCTTTAAAATATTTAAACTTTTACAATTTTTAAGATTATATTAGTAAAAAAAAAAGACTCATAAGAATAATTATAATAAATTGAAAAATATGATTTTATATTATGATTTAGATAGTATTTATAATAATTTTTTAGGTTTTATTAAAGAAATATATTAAAGTCATTAAAGTATAAGGTTGATTGACTACACTTTGAATTGTATGCTACTAAACATAATGATCTATGGTATTTAGAAGTTTATAATGCAAACTATAATTATGATTATTCAGAAAATATATCAGGTTATCCAATTGCCTATTATTTTGTAGAATTACAGCTAGAAAATATAGTAGTAATAGTTGTTATTAATTTATTTTCATAAGAAATTTTATCAACTTTTTATCAAAATAATGCAGAAAATTTGATTATTAATAGAGATATCTACAATACTTATAAATATTTTCATCAAAAAATTTAATAAATTAGACTTTTATTTAAGCTCTTATAGATGAACTTAAAAAAGGCAATTTTATATATGAATAAAAGTGATAATATAGGTTGTATTATTCATCTTTTCTTTACATATAAAGAATTTGTTATTTTTACTTTTATGGATTATACTTATAAACAAACAAATTTAAAACGTTTTTATTAAATATAGTTAGTATCATTAATTTCAATATTATATTTTATTCTTGTTTTATTTTAATAAAAGGTAAAAAAGAATGGATTATCAGTAGGTTTTAACCTTTTAACTTATGTTGCTCATTTATTTAATAGAATTTCAAAATCTAATATGATTATAACAGATATCTTATGAAGAGATAATCTTTTCAAATTCAGAAAATTTATTGTGTATATAGCATATTAACAAAATTATTTAAAGAATTGTAAATCACAATTTTCAAGAAAGGCAGATAATGAGAAAAATGATGAATGGTAATAGTTTAATCAATAAATTAAGATGAATTTAATGAAAAATGGCAAAATTTTCGTTCTGATTATATTAAAAATCCCATATTATTACTTATCTTAAAAATACTTGGATGCTATGGAAAGAAAAATTTGTAAAAGTATGGACAAATAAAAATTTTTATTTAGGAATAACTGTAACTTCTCACATTGAAGATGCACATTCAATGCTTAAAGCTAATTTGCAAGTATTAGCAGGAGATCTTTATCAGGTTTATAAGCAATCTCTTTAATGGTAACTAATCAAAAAAGAGAGATTGACAGTATAGTTGAATCAGATCATATTCACCTTCTAATTTTTGCACATAATAATTTATATTATGCAAATATTAAAGGCCAACTTTCAATATTTGCTTTTAAAAAAATAAATGAGCAATATCAGAAGGCAGTTCATGTAACTACTCAAGAACCATTATCACCACTACGTACTGGAACTTTTTCAAAAATAATGGGTCTACCCTGTGCTCATAAAATCGAATATTTAGATAACAATCAAGGTCTAATTCTCAACGATATTCATAACCATTGGTGTGATTCAAAGAAGTTAAATAGTATCACAGCTGACGAAAATAACTTTCTTCATGAAGATGCTTTACAACCACTTTTGCAAAATCTGCAAAGAGAGATATCAAGAATGGCCAAATTTCAACAAGTCAAGTAGAAGCACACGAAACATTAAATAATATGATTAATGCTCCATTGATGGTCTTGTAAAACCAAAAATTGTTCTTACAAAAGGACGTCCTTCTGGTTCTAATAATATACGATCAATTAACTCTACCAACATAGATCTTTCTGGATTAAAGAGTAAGAAAATGCACTCTGTCATCAGTCTGGACACAACGCTCGCACTTGTCAACTAAACAGAAATTAATTATTATTTAGCTTCTTCTGCTTTAATTAATATCCAATTATGCTTTTGAAAAATAATGAAACATTCTTTTAATAAAAAAAAATTATTTGGCTTTGATATAGAGTTTAAAACGAATGGCGCAGTAAATTTTATGTAGATCGCATGACTTTACCTTTCTTTTTGATCGACACTTTTTTATTTTAAATTCGTCAAATTCTTCTAAATCGAACTTTGGAGAAATATTATTTGGCACTTTACAATGATAATTAGGAATTAGGAACTACTTTATTTTAATAGGTAAATATTCTAAACTGCACAAGCTAATGATAGTAATTTTTTGGTTTAACTTAATTAGGGTTTGTATAAGCCCAAAACAATTTTGATAATAGAAAGTTTACATTTTGTAAGCAAAATATAAGAAACAGAACAAATAAATAATATTATTATGCAAAAAAAAAAAAATAATTAAAATTTCTGTTATAATAAAAGGTGATATTACTATAACCTTTGATTATGCAATCCATGAATTCTCTCCTTTTTACAGTTAATTATAAGAAAATTTCTATAACGAAGTTTTATTTATTTTTTATTTTTTAAAAAAAAAGCTGATTATCTGTTCCGTGACTTATATACTGATGTGATTATTTGTTTTTTTCATGGCTATTGTATATAAGTAAATTAAATTAAAATTTTCGAAAGAGAAAATGAATTGAGGTATCAAGTTTCTTTTAACAAAGTTTCAGCATGATAGTAAAACTGGAATCATCGACCGAAAGATCATCATCTGCGGAGCCGTAATTAGTTTATGGGATGTCAATTTGTAATGTATAATGTTTCTTTGTATTTCAATTTTTCTGTTATATTTCCGAGTGCAAATAAATATTATTAAAAATTAAAGTCAGTTATAATCGTTTCAGCATTCCCTATAAAAAAAATTTGCCCATTATTTTTCGTTGCTTCTGTAAAACTTCCGTGAAAACGAGCCTTTTACAGAATCTGTGTAAATGAATATGAAAATTCCGTGATTTAAGATTATAAAATGAGCCCTTCACATAAAAAACATGTAAATCAAAATACGGATCAACTTTTTTTAACGGTTCCCGCTACTTAGATGTATTTCATATAATCTATAAGACTCATTTATATAGCATTTTTTTACGGTTAAAACGCAAATGATTTTTATAAATAAAACTTATATAACCGAAATTATCATCATAAACAATAACAGTGAAATTATGAATTATAAGGTAAGGTGTATAAGATACAAAATAATTTTATAAAATGTATTATGTTTAATACCCGAAATGATTAAGTTCAATTTTGCTACCAATTTATAGCAGCTTTGGTGAAAAACTCACACTGATAAAAATTTGAGAAATACTGGTAAAAATTATTATAAAAATACAGATTAAAATATATAAAGGACAATAACTCCCATAATTTTTTCATCAGTAGTTGGTAATAAGACCTCTGCTGTAAATTTATTTTTTGATCAAGGGCATTACGAATCTTTCTCGTTCAGTTTGTGCTTGAATAAAAATAATTTTGAATTCACATCTGGAAGGGCGTCAAATAATCCCTTATTTCTGTCATCTTTTGATATATCAATCCCAGTTTTCTTAACATAAACTTTAGGGATAGATTTTATTTAAAATAAAATAAATACGGATCCGAAGATAGCTTAGCAAGTAGCTGGTTCTTTATAAGTCAAGAACCTTTTTCAAAAAACAAAAAAAGATTGATTGCTTGAATGAAAAGTGTTTAAGGGAAGAAACTCTTTAACTACTAGACAAGAGATTTGTACAATAGCGGTTATATCCATTACAATAATTTATCTTTTGGTTGATTCTTAAAATATAAACTTAATCAATTTATTACCATGGTTTAATTATTAGTCACGTGGTGAATACTATAGTAATTAAACAATATTTTTAAGCATAAAGATCTTGTTTATATGGTTTATATGACTCTTTTTTTTCCGAGTTTTATATATTAGGCGACTATTTTTTCCTTTTTCACAAGATTCCATTCAGAATTATTTTTTCAAAAATTTAATGGTTACATAGGTAAACCACAGGCGATGAATCCGTTTTAATACGATATACAGTATAATAAATAATATATTAATTGAATTAAATATACTGTAATAAAGATATTTGTGATCATAAACTATGATTGGCACAGTAATCGGACAACAGGTTCATTGCTAGGTTTTATTTTATTAATTTTAATAATTTATAAATATGATCTTATAGTGTAAGAGTTTTTTAAAAGTAGGAACTACATTATTAATTTCTTCAAGTGTTATGTATTTGATTTGAAAGTTTTATAAAAAAATTTTCTAAAGTAATATGTTTCCAATAACACGATTGCATTTCGGAGGAATACAGGTACAAGTATTTAATTATTTATCTATTTTTTTTTTAGATTCCTCTTTGGCTTCGGGACGTTGCATCGATAAAATAAATTTAATAATAGGTAGGCAATTAATTCTCTTTATAGTAACAAATATCAATTGAATAGGATTATATAATACTGTAATTAAAAATAATATCATATTATTTGAAGATTTACTGTAGGTTCCGAAAATTGGCAAAAATTCATAGAAACCTGTCAAATTGAAAAGATTTTGAATTTTCCAAATGAAATTAAAATTTGGTTTGTCCAACAACTTTAAAATATAATAAAAATAAAAATAATTTCTTGGATTGCTACATGTTTTTTTTTTGTATGAAAGAATTCTTTCAAGAATATTTCTTATAGTCCATGGTAAGGAAAGGGAAATGGGAGTGGCGCTTAATTGGCTCATGGCGCAGAAAACTAACTTGCATTACAATTTTATAAACGAATTCATATAATTAAGCCGATCGAGTTCAAAAAGAACAATTTGTATAAACGTAACGAAGACTATCTTAATAGAACAATTCTAATTGCTCCTAATAATATCAATTCTGTACATGAAATTACCGGAGTAAAAAAAGTTCAAGAAGAAAAGGTGTCAAAGTTGGAATCATTGATTCAGGTGTGTTAAAAAAAATTTTTCTTATTTAACTATTTTAAATTAAATCAGGGAACTTTGATCATGTATAATTTTATTTCATTTTTTATTATCAAACATTGACTATACACATCTTGCTCTTGGGGATACTTTGGACCAGGATATAGAGTAGCATTCGGGTATAATTTTCTTAATGATACGAATGACCGTACACCCGGGTATCCGCATCGTTTTATAAATCGGGTACCCGCGTTATTTCGGGTCATAAGTTTATTTAACTTAACCTTCATTGTGACATGTTATTGCTTTCATCAAAAAAAGATTTGTGGTGAGCTTTATTACTAGAGTAACAATTATATTATCATTGTCTGAAAGGGAAGGCCTATCATTCATAGTTGAAAGCTAATATTTAGAGTGAATCTGTAGAATATTTGCCCATGAATGTCTTCTATAATTTAAATTTTAAACAAATTAAAACTCATTCAATATTTATATAAACAATTGAATTGATTTTAACTAATTTGAATTTCTTAAAATCATCGTGCATCAGAAATCTGCTTTTTTTTTATTAAGGCAATCGGGTATCCGGGTGATGAATTAGGAGACGGCCAATCTCTAATCCAAAGAATCCAAAGTTTGTTATTATTATATGTACTAGTTATTTCACGGGGGATGTGTCAATGATTTTCACGGTGCAGCCGTCTGATACATATTTTTAATTTGCAATTGTATTGAAAAATTTTATTCATTTTTATCAAAACATGCACTAGCGTTTACTTTCAAACGTAATAAAATTAATTTGTTTTCAATGTGTAAATGTTTAAACGATTATAAAGGATTTGATAATACACTAATAATAATAGAAAAAAACGTAAACCCAAATGAATTAATTCAAATTTACGTTTCATTCTTCATTTTTATTTTTCATATTTAAAAATAAATCTTATTTTAGTTTATCAACAAAAACTTAAACCACTTGGGGTGTTGGACCAACTGGTTTGAGTATGGGAAATAAGGCAATTATCGATTCGAAACAAGCCACATTTTAGTAAAGTATCTCGAAAAGAATCCAAATTTAAAATTGGATTTTTCTGACAAGTTTGAGCCAATGTTGGGCAATTGGACAATTTTAGAAAGTTTTGGGACACATTTCATATGTTCAAAACCTTGTCCAAATTATTTAAAATTAAAAAATGTGTCCAAAACCCATTCACTGCATAAGTATGAGTATACGGAATATAAACCATTTTCTGTAGTTCCTTCGGCATCTTCAAGTTGGGTTAACTGAGTGAGTTAAATATTAAGGTAAGAAAATATCATATAAAAAAGGTTTAAAATAACGTTTTGTTGTTTTTTTTTTTTTTTTAATTATAGCCTGATATCTCTTGTTCCAGAACAACTTATACTTTCATCTTTCCCAGTCAATCTGTCAATTATGCTGTACCTCGTAAAGATCTTAATAAATTACTAGCACCGGTAATTATTCAAGGCGCGGGACTTGTTGACGGGTTTAATACATTGAAAAATCAGCTTTGTTTATCCACCCAAAATTAATTTGAATGGTAAGTTCATTATAATGGAAATCAGAAATTAAAAAATTTATAATAGTGGAATAAAGAGATGAAATATGAATTATCACATTTACCAGCTCCAAGTTTTAACAGATATAATAGAACTCGTTTTATAGTGGATGGTTAGAAATAACTCCTTTAGATCATAATGACAGTTCCTTATGGTAAATAATTTTTCTTATACAACAACCATCATATCTTCAATTATTTAATACTTTAACGGATCTACTTTATAACCTTTTTAATTATATTTCCGTATTAGCTGATGCAAGATCTCTTCCATTATTTCAGAAACCGGATTTTCCTGTACTCGTTGGTTTTTTTTGCCAATACGACGAATGTTTGATATCGCAGAAGAGGATCCTATTAAAACATTCACTTTAAAACTTAATGAAACCGTCGGATTATATGATTTTCCATCGGTAGTTCTTAATCTTGCAACTCCGATACAAATGACTATTACCGAAATACTTGATGAAAGACATGGGCTTTTGGGATTGGTTAAAGATTATACTGGAATTAAAAATTCAAAAGATCCAATAGAAGAAAAAGACGTTTCATGGGATGGACTTATTTATAATCTTGGTAACAAAGTAGAACCAGGTACGCTCTCTTCAAACGGAAATTTTTTTTTATGAATTAAAGCACTAAAAACGTTGGTGATATTAATAACAAGAAAGATTATGAATCCTTAAATTTGGAATTATTCATGAATAATTTGAGGTATGATCAGAGAAATGGAATTGTTTTGTGATTATAATAAAAATTATTATTTAATATTATATGGCCGTTCCTGGGGTGGGTTAAACACCCTCAGATAATCTGAGGGTAAGTATACATTTTTTTTTTTGAAATCTCCCCAGATGAAATTTAAATCCGGAGCAAAATGATGCATTAAATATAGCACCCGAGTATTTGAATCATGAGTTATTGACAAAGCGAACATTGTTTCTTAAAGTAATGCAGAAAAAAAAAATAATTGCTAACTTCTCAAATAAACCGTTCGAATTTACAACTTATATCACGAGTCTGCATTTGTGGAATCGGTATATCAGGTGACCATTTTTTTTTTTAATAAACTTTATTTAACTGATGATAAAAAAATTACACGTAAAATTTGAAATGTAAATTTATTTAATTTGTAAAAAAGTATTTAAAAATTGTACTAGGAATTTTACACCGGCGGACTAGATAAACATACGAAAATTTTGATGTTAGAATAAAAAAAAAACATTCTCGATAAATAGCTCTTATAACACATATTCATTAATTTACCTCTTAATACAAATAGGACCTTTGGCGTTTGAGCTGCAAGTTAATCCTTGTTTGCAGCAACTGTCACCGCAAGGTGGATCATCAACTTCGCAAGGGGTGCCGGGGCACTCGTTTTGTTCATCACATGGTACGTTGGTAGGAGGACACACGCAAGTATCGTCGGCTTGCCTTTTAAATAATGTTCCAACCATTGCTCTTGTTCTTGGACTAGGACTTGCAAAAGCGAAGGTTACAACGGCGAGAACGAGCATTAAAATAAGATTAAGGTTCTTCATGATTTTTATGATAATATTGAATTGTGTAAATGTGATTTAGCGATTTAAACTTTTGAACGATTAAATTTCGAATGAAATTATTTTGTGGGAATTAATGATTTTACGACGTGCGTATTTATAAGTAAATCAGGTTTCACAATATCCACTCTTTTACGCCTGAAAACAATGATGTAACGAAGTTATTTTATTAATAATTATTAATTTTTTCAGATCAAAATTATTTACCTTTTCTTTTTATCTTTTTTTGGGTTAATAAAGGATATAAGAATGTTTATTGAATCTCCCTTGTTCGATGCGTTTTAATGAAACAATTTTAAAATCTGTAAAGAAAAAAAATAATCATTGTTAATGAGACCCACAATGACATGACCTTGAAAATAAGAGCTCCGCCTTTTAACCATATCAGTGGTGCTTAATCAATAATTTTGGGCGTATGCAGATCGTGCAGAGAAATATTTATCAGTTGGCGGATCTCGTGTTGATCAGAGGTGCGGGACCTTTTTGTGCAACACAAATGATCATTGTTCGGTTGCACAATTTTAACTATTACCAGAGATGATTTTCTGTCGTTAAAGGTTTCTATACTGTCCAGGTTGACTTTCTAGTCGTTGCAACGGGATGAAAATTGGATAGAGATTGGATTGTAATAGCCTAGATTAATGCTAATTTCTACAAATTTCATGATAGGACTCACAAATATCGAGAATGAAAAAGAGCATTCTAATAAGCAAATCAAAATTCGTGTATTATGGTATGGGATCTATAAATGGCGGAACATTCAATTGGATCTTCAATGAGAAGTTCCTGCAGAACTAATTATTTGGGGATTTAATTTTAGGATAATTAATAAGTCCCGAAGTGGTAAATAAATAAAAAAACTTAAAAAAAATAGATGATCACTTTATTGGCTCGCGGAGATGCAAGTTGCTTAATCTAAAGGGCGTATCACTTCCGTATTAGATCTGGCCAATTAAGATCTATGAATTTGAAAATCATTCATTCTTAGTTTTTTTCAAATACAATTTCTTTATTTCCAATAATACAGAAATTATTTCTCCATACAAAAATTGAAAGATGATTCTGATTTATCATTTAAAAATCATAATTTAGACCGAAATTATCATAAATACAATTCTTTTTTCATTAGCAAAGTGCTTTTGATCATTTTCCATCGATCTTTATGTTATATTAATCAAGTATATTATTTTTCTACTAATGTTTATTTCTTGGCTAATTGATCAAAGTATTACTTCAAATACTTATATAAGAATTGCTGTAAGTTTATTATCTTTTTATATATCTTTTTTTTTAAAAAAAAAAAGGTTAGTTTTGATTAGATTTTAAGGAAGTGCCGCGTATAATTTTTTGTTCATAAAAGAAAATATACATAATCATCTTGTAATAATATTTTAATAAAATTAAATAAGATTCTAGCGTGGGCTATGTATTTAATAAATAATTTTTTTATTGGTGGAAGGTTAATAAAGCTCCTACAATCTAATAAGCTTCATTTATATTCTATAAACAGGTGAATTTTTTTTTATTCATGAATTATTTGTTATCGGTATGGAACTTGAAATGTAGCTCTAATGCATTCTTATAAGAATTTGGTACCACGAAGAAAATTACAAACCATAACAACACCCAAGAAATTCTCTCGATAAATCCAAGAACTCTCACATAAAATATTACAATAATCACGATTGAACTGTAAAGTATCTTGAGAGTTTGTTAATTTCCTAGGCATATATCTATCAAGGCCTCTTTTATCAATTCAAGTAATAATTGAAAAATAAGCGCCTCTATTACCAGTAAGAATCAATTCTTATACGCGACTGCTCTGTAAATTGAACAGAATTTGCGTAAATCAAATAGCCTAATTGTAAGTACCCAAAATTAAAATAAATTAAATAAAAAGGTGCTATGCTTAAAAATCTTAAATTATAAATTTTCCTATATGAAGATAACATACCTTGATTTAGTATTACATTATCAAAACTACTTAATGCATGAACGTTGATAAAATATGGAATACTATCAAAAATAAATTCATTTTTTTTTTTGATTCGAATATACAATAACATACGATTCTATAGGGCGTGCGATAATTGAAATATTATAAAAAAGCAAGTCTCTTTACAAGCTAGAAAATCAAATCACGTGATAATCATTTGATATACCGTTTTAGACAAATATTAAAAATATTATTAAAGGGCAAAAGCGCGATATTACGCAAAATTTTATTAAAAATATAAGAAAATGAATACAAGATATAAAGAAAATTAGATACATAAAGGAATAAATAAATCTATCTAGAGACTATAACTAGTGAAGGCACTTCGACGCAAATTGAACATAGGACAAGCGAACCCATATTTTCTACTTGCTTTGTCAATAGTACGAAACGAGAGGATACCTTCGTCTATATTTTTAAACGACAGTTCAGGGAGTGAATTCACCGACCAGCAGATATATCACTTTGACTGAAGTTCTTTTTTGTTGCTATCTATTATTATTGTATATATATTAATTTTTTTTTTTTAAAAAAAAATAAAGAAAAGTCTTCGTGTTATTATTCTTCAGACTTGACAGTTTTTTCTTCGTTAAAATAGACGTCGTGACCTATTATAAAAAAAATAAAATACTTTAGAACTTTAGAAATAGGAAAATTAGCAATCATTTCAGTAGTAGTAGAAGAAAATTTTTAGGAAATCGAGAAGGTATTTTATATTTAAAAAATCAAACATGACGTGTGAAACAAATAAACAAAACAAACGGAAATGTCGATCAAAATAGAATGAAGCTAAATTATTGGACAAAATTGATGTATAATCTTATAATATATGGGTGATCGGCTATTAAAAATCTGTAAACGTGATGCAAAATTCGTGATGTCATAAAAGCACTCAAGCTTGAAGATGTCAATACTCTTATTTTTTCCATGGCAATTGACATGGGTGATGAGGTTTATCGTTGACAAATGTGTAACCACCTGATACACGCCCGAGATATTTTAGAAATAATAACAAGGACATGAATTAAAAATATGTTCATTATTATTCTCTTAACGACATGAATTATAAATAAGGTTATATTGGTTATGCTTTGGTTCGTTTTATTTTTTTACGGGTCTCAAAGACATCTGTAGAATTGTACATCTTTTTCAAATTGACATTTTATCCTAAATCCATTAATTCTACTTTTTAATTTGTAAAAATGTTTCTATTTACGTTTGAGGCTCGAAAATTTATTCATAATCCTAGAAAAGATCTATGGTAAGTCAATCGTATTCATTTATTTACATTTGGGAATAAAGAAGGATTTTAGGAAGATAGGAACATAAGTTGAAATATTTTTTTGGAGAGACGAGATTTCCACTGAAAGGTGAGTTATATTACTCATGGAATTTGTTTCATTATTAGGTGAAAGAACAGTAAGATGCGGGTTGTGCAGCCTGCAATCTGTGTATATTATGAAACTCCTACCTTATGTGACCTCTCTCCCTTAGCGAATACTAAATTAGTAAAAAAACCTTATTTTTTTACCTTTAGGTTTATGACGAAAGATTTATTCACGACAGTTACAAATTCTCGATCTATTCTAGGCTATGTTCATTCTCAAGCAACTCCTTCAACAAGTGATTGAGATGTTGCACTAACATTACAATCATTTAAATAATGATTTCAATCGATTCTTGAGCTACTTCTTTTTCAATCATTTCATTTTACCATTAATTGGTTATAAAAAAGAAAGTAGCTACTCAACAAGGTATAAACAACTATAGTTGCTCTTATTTCTCCTTGTGCAGATTTTACTAAATTTTAAATGTTGTTGCAATAGCAACTCCTTTATGAACACTCTAACTTAAACAAAGCAAATACCAAATGTGAAGAGGTAATACAGTGACTTCCATAATTATTGCACCACTTCATTTAAAATTTTTAAATTGTAATATCGTTAAATCTATTTATTATACAATAAAAAAAATTTTATTAATTATTAAACCTTAGACTTTCTTTATTATTTATTAAAATTTAATTTGCATATTATTGACTTTTTAAAAAAAAAAATCTTGAATCACCAAAACTTTGCAATGCAATACTTTTAGCATATATCAAAAAAAAATTTTGATTACATATTTTTCAATAAAATTTCTAACTAACCCTATTTGAATTTTTTTAAAAATCCAATCACCACTTTGTATATCCTCCACCAGCCTTAAGAACATCTTTAACCTGTTGTAGCATTATATTAATTAATTTTAAACAAACATCAACATCAATCTGATACCATACTAGTTGAATCTTATTCCACAAATCTTCTGCACTAGTAATATTATCAAGAAGCTATCGCAAATGATGATCAACTTCATTTCACAAATGTTCAATGGTTTAAGTCTGGCGATTATGTTGGCTAATCCAAAACCTCAACATGATTATCATTAAACCATTCAATTGTCTTATTAGCTGTATGCTTTAGATCATTATCTTATTGGAAAATGATATCATTTACAGTTAAATCACATGTGCTAAGTGTTCTAAGAAACTCATCTTTCAAAATGTCTCGATATAAGTCTCCATTTATTCTTCCATTAATTTTACAGTATAATTCCACACCAAATGCACCCATATAACCCATATTATCACAGAACCCTCACCAAACTTCATCAGGAAGTTAAATGCATGTGAAACTGCACATCATTAAGTGTCATGTGTTGATCAACATCAAATCACGTTATGCTGCAAAGGCAATGCAGAACAAAACATCAAAATACTAACGTCAATCAATATGTAAAATAATGTATTATGTAGATCAATCAATAAAACAATATGTAAATTTATACGTATTATAGCATTTTTGTATTATATTATTATTTATTTATATAACGCAAATACAAATTAAGAAATTATTCAATTATCTTCATTATCGT